GGAACTAAAATATTTAATTGCCTTCCCCTTGAATTGAAAAGTGTTAAAGACTGTAATGTTTTTAAGAGGAAACTAAAAAATAATTGTTGTGCAGCGCTTTCCATTCCCTTCGTGAATTTTTCAGCTAATGCTGATTGATGACTAGCTTTTTGATTGTCTTTTGGTTTGCAATTTTTAATATTGTGTTTACATGTTTTATATTACTGACTTTTTCTTTTTGTCTTCTGTATTTCTTATTATGTTCCTTATAATGGTTGCTAATAGTGATAAATCACCGTGTAAATTTTATGTGACTTTGACGTGTTATGTATTCGTTATTATTTCCTGACATGTCCAATTGTATTCACTTCAGTTATGGACGAAAATAAAGTTGAAAGTTGAAAGCTCTATATGCATGAGACAAGTCTCTTGCTGAATGTCATCACAAATACAGCTAGTCATCACAGAACCCTAAGAATCAGTAAGTGTCCACGGCAAGGACATCATTAACCCTATCACTGCTAGTATGATAAGTAACTCTCAGTACCCTCTGTGCTGAATTATTTTTGAATAAATGTTTTATAAATAATTTAAGTGCAAAGTATGAAAACTTGTGATAAAATGTAACTAATCTTATCTCAGACAGGGAACAGGCAGCTGAAGTTGCAAAAATGTTTAATTATTCAGTACTTTTCACAGGGAAAAAGTCCATTTAAATCAGGGTTGTCCAAGATGGTCAAAAAAGTACATAATTCACTATCCTAGTCTTATCATTATGTCACATGTTGACCGAAGTCCACAACTTTATTTAAAACTACGAGGGTCGCACTGAGTGTCACGAGCAACAACTATTTGTAAAGTAACATGTTTTATTATTGACAAACCAAATACACCACCTCAATCTACAGACCTTTCTTTATTTTTCCACATAATCACCACTTCTTTGTACACATTCCTCCCAGCGTTCTGGGAGTTCGAAAATTCCCCTTCTGTAAAATTCCATTCCAGCCATCCGAAGATATTGACGCGCTGCTTTCTGAATTGCCTCCCTTGTCTCAAAACGTTGTCCACACAGCTGATCCTTCACAAATCTGAAAAGATGGTAGTCGAAGGGTGCCAGATCAGGGCTATAGGAGGGGTGTGGAAGAACCTTCCACCCCATCTTTGCAATTGCTTCCAACGTGAGGCCAGCAGCATGGGGATGAGCGTTGTCATGAAGGATGATGTCGTTTCATCCCAGATGTTTATCATGCAATGCACGACGGAGCTTGTGCAGCGTCTCGACATAACGAGCAGCATTTATGGTTTGCCCAGGTTCCAGGAATTCGCCCAGAATAAACCCCTCTGCATCCCAGCACACTGTGCCCATCACCTTCACAGCTGGTGGCACTGTCTTTGCCTTCTTTATTGGTGAAGAATGCAAATGGTGCCATTCCATACTCTGCCGCTTCATTTCAGGCTCGAAATGGTGAAACCAGCTTTCGTCACCTGTCACAATACAGAGCAAAAAATCATCGCCTTCGTGTCGATATCTCTGCAGCAGTTCTGAGGTGATGGCATTTCGCTGACCTTTGTGGTCTTTGGTTAATAACCGCGGGACCCAACAAGCACAAACCTTCCTATAGCCCAAGCTTTCAATCATCTCCTGTACTGCACTGTGCCCTATTCCAAGTTTTTGGGCTATTGTGTTCACAGTCACACGCATGTCATCTTGAACGATCTCATCCACTCTTTCCTTGTTGCGTTCAGTTGAGGCTGTTCAAGGACCACCGCTCCGAGGCTCATTTTCAATGCTGGTGTTCCCATCTTTAAAATGTTCCACCCATCTTCGAACACTGCTCACACCCATGCACACACTTCCATATGCATACTGAAGTCTCTGGTGAATTTTTGCAGCAGGGATTTCCTCTTTCACAAGAAATTTGATGACAGCACGCTGGCGAAACTACATATCGTTGTTGTTCATTTTGTTAGGAGTGATACTGGTCACGTGATGCAAGCTACTGACGTCACAAGACACTCAAGGTTAACACAACAGCTGGTTCCACCTACCACCCCACTCTCTTTCATCTGCTGTTCCCAGGTTGCATGCAAAAAAAAAGTTGCTCATGACTTTTGGTACGACCTACGTATTATAGAAAGCACCACACACTATATGAAGCCATTTTTACTAGCCCTGTGAAACACCCTAGTCACATGACCATGGAGCATGTGCCTCGCTGTGCAGATGCAACCTCTTACATTTCTTAAGCTAGAGGGCAGAAGAATGCAGCCATTGAAATGAATGATGCTTCGTTATGTTCCCAATAGATGATTCTATGTACCTGCCTTGAATGAGATTGGAGCAAAGAAACTGAGATTTGAATCGCTAAAAGTCGCAATATGGGTTTTGTCAATTGCAGCAAGGGTGCCATGTTTTTCAGAGATTGACATATGTCGACCGCAGCGGTGTAAGGGTTAAATCCCTGCATTGTGGACCCCAAGGCTGATCATAAATTGGCGTCCAAAAGTGTGGCAGGAAGAGCAGTTATGAAAGTGGCATCCAAAGCGAGGGTGCAAAATGTCAGTAAACATAAGCCTATTCCTTCAAAATACCATCTATTACACTACAAGGTGTCACATCCCAGAAAATAGTAATCTTCATAGTCACCTCTCCCAAGAACCTCAAATCTCACTTGCATGAAGTACTGTGTAACAGAGAAGTGTGTTTTTAGCACAATGTTTACTACGCAACAATATATTTGGAAGAAGTCTTTTATAAAGCATCACAAATAATCTGGAAGAATGTTTCCAAGTAATTAAGTTCTTTAAGAAATAACAATATATCCAACAACTAACACATTCTGAACAATAGCTAGTTACAGAAGTAGAACTGAATGCAACACATATTATAGAAGAGACACTAAATAATATCAGACACTGTTTAGAAGCACACCCACAAAAAGCACAAGACAGTTATTTCAACAAACCAGTATATTAAAGTCAACCACAGAGTTGCTTTGTTGAAGTCATACAAATATATCATAGTGCAAGAACTCCATACGGTAGACTCTGAACAGCTCTGTCTCTGTTTTGTGAGGCAGTGTGTATGGTGGAGTTCACCCACTGCTAATTTATTTCTTGGACAAGGCAGGGTCTCATTTGAATAGAAACATAAATACCTAGAAAAACAGATACTGCTCATATGCAAAGTGTATTTGCATCTTATTACAATTGGCATATGGTGTGCTATCAGTGTAACAAGAATTGCTTTTTCTTTCCTTTTGCATAAAAATAGACTCAAATTATACTACATAAATTCTCATACCCCTTCTTCAAAATCTAAGTGACGAGATCAAATACTCATATACCCATTTTTTCAGCAAGACAGTGCAACTGCCCATTCAGAAAAGAATTCGGTATGGAACATTTTTCATGACTGAAATATCAGCCACTCTTTGCCGCCTATTTGTTCACCAATTTGACTTCATGTGATTATTGTTTTAGTTGATCTGGTTGGAAAGCTCCACATAATATTTGTTTCATTCTGGTCCGTCACACTAACAATATTATAAAAGATAAAACAATCCCATCCATAATGTTATATTTTAGCGTCCTGTTGCACTGATTTATGTCCATGATTTATTCTGACCGTCTTACAGTGCATACATTTATTCACCTTACTCTTCTCTCTTGCAGTACATGTTTCAGCACAAAAGTGCTGAACACACAAAAGTGTGTTATAACACATGCAGTCACAGGAGCAAGACACAACATAAAGCACAATACACACAGGAAAGTAGGAAGAATACTCCGATAGAAGAAGATAGGTGTGACTCGCGTATTGAGATACGACATAAGGATGACAAATCCTGAACACTTTTAATATTTTTTATATTTAAAATTTATCAATATATATGACGAATATATATTTTAGTTATTTTAGTATAAAGACAACAGGGCATGCAATGAAGTAGTTCGACATACATCGAAAAGCACCTGAAGATGGCACTTCTGTGCTGAAACATGTAGTGCAAGAGAGAAGAGGAAGGTGAATAAATGTATGCACTGTAAGACGGTCAGAATAAATTATGGACAATTCCATCCAGTGTGACTGGTGAAGTTTTTCTTATTTCAATTCTTCATACCCTTACATGTTTTGGTCCTTTGAGACCATCATCAGAGGGACATCAATACAATTTGGAAACCACTATTACAATGGGTGTTCTGAATGTTAAAATATATATACATACAATGTTGACAATATACAAATGGATACAAAATCCAAAGTTTTCACAACTACAGTGGCTGTCTCGATATATTAATTTTTTTTTTAAACTTTTGTTATTTAAGTTAGAATTTATAAACCAAATAGGTTCATGTCCTCTCTCTTATCACCTCTCTTGACAGGGGCCGAACTTGTGCCGCCTGCCTTTCTTGAGAAGAAGGTTCTATGATGTCATCCTGTGGTTGTTTGTGGCAGTGGTGTTGTTTTTGCAAGAACAATAATGAAGAATTGAAATAAGAAAAACTTCACCAGTCACACTGGATGTAATTGTTTTATATTTTATAATATTCCACAGAATAATTATGTGGAACTTCTCAACCAAAACAATCTGCACACACACATGAACTTAAGAGAAAACAATGGGCAGACAGTATTGCCATTTTACAATCCGAGCTTCAAATAGTTTTCAGCAACATATTCACCAGGTATCAAGCATGCCTGACAGGTGATGGAGGCCATTTCCAGCACCTGCTGTAAGGTGTGATAAGGTACATCACAGAATACATACTGTTAAAACTACCTGCTAATCACTATAAAACAGCATTTTGTCATGGTGGGTGTCACTGTATAGGGGGCAGCCTTTATTAGGCACAGAGAGAAGTTCTTTTTAAAAAATTTCTTTTAATATATATATATTCCTGTGAAAGGTAGATGAAAAGACAGGTGCAACAAGAATTAACACTACAGTCATATCTCAAAACATCAAAGACAGAGGCAGAACTAAATCTAGCATCCTACACTTCATAGTACACACCTTCTGTTCATAGTCCTCTTCACTGTTGTGAGAAGAAGATGGCTTCATTTTCTTGGATACCATTTTCTTCCGAGATCCTTGTAGAATATTTTTCCTAACATTCCCATCATCAGAACCAAGAGGCAACTTGCGGTCATCATCATCTAAGGTTGGTGAGTGTTTTCCACCATCACTCTGAATCTTTAGTGTTCGTTGATAGTTTGTTGTAAGTTCCAATTTCAGCTCTGCTAATCGAGTTTCTATTTCGTCAACTTCATTAATCAACTTGAAACACTTCTTACAGATTACATTACTATGAACTGAATCCTCACTCATTTCCTGACCCAGCACTGCTCCAATGGTATATGACAATGGTCTTTCTGATGTTGTTACTATGGTTTTATGGAAGATCTCAAGGCTATTACGAGTTGAGACACCAACTCTGCTGTTGCATATTAAACAGTGGGTGCTTTTTGGAGCAGTACCCTGCTCCTTTTCTGTGTCTGCAGTCATCACGTACTGGCTGTATCACCTAACACAAGAAAAAGTGTCATTTGTTTGGTAATTCAATTAACATTACAAACATGAATTTATATAACTTTCACAAGATTCTCTTACTTACACTACATCAACACAGTGATGCTCTTATTAATTGATGATACCAACAGCTTCTCCTAACTGCCTTATTAGATTTCAAATAATCGATCTGCTAAGGGCAAGTTGCACTAACAAATGTACTTTCAATGCCTAAGCACATAAGCTACCATATTAAGTACAACCAATAAATAAGATACATATATACGAACCTCTGTTACAAGGTATTCTACTAAACTGAATGTGTTTAAGAACATAACATTTGGGCATGGGGTTACATAAAATCAGACTGTTTCTCCGGGACATGTGTTATCATTATCGTATATTCCAGATAGTCGTGGAATTCATTAATGGTTGGGAAAAGTGACTAGGTTAGACTGTGGCTACAAATTTAACGGTGGGCCGAATCAGAAGTAAAATATCTTACTACAATTCCGATCTGGACCCTTATAATGCATAACATTACGTACAACTACTAGATACAAATTTATCTTGATGAATAACACGCAAGGTAAATTGCATGTTGCAACGCGCTAGTCAGGAGGTGTTCCTTCACGTTCTATTCCTAACGATCACCCAAGCTGTTTCAAAGACAGGCCACAGTGTTCTACACTAATCTTCTAAATCGGATAACTCAAACTAACTAATTACTAATCAAACACGTTAAACATATAAACACAGTTTTAACACAAAAATAATGATAGAAAAAATTACTATTTATTTACCAAATACAGAAATGTTCCGTCATAAGTTGCCAGCCCTGCCCAAACAATATGGCGATGATGAGGAGAAGGAAAGTTTGAACGTAAAACTTGAACATTTTACGCTCTATGAAATAATGAAGAAGTAAAGAAATTTATGTCATAAGAAAACATTTATTCAAATTTTATATCTTCAAATTTTATTTTTATGTATAATTATGTTTTTATTTCGAAGCATATCAGCATGGCGTGACTGTGTTTCATTGACATAAGGATTTCCATCAGCGAACGACTATGAAAATAAGCCCAACATGATATTACAATGCCAAATTTCTCCCTATCATGTTTGTTATTTAATATTTCAATAAATTATATGGGGAAGACCGATTTAATGAATGACTGAAGTTTCGAAATCCTGGTGCTAATCTGATGCAATAACATATAACCGATGAATGCTTTCCTGAACGCACCTAACTGAAAAAACAAAAGAATGTCAAGTTCCGGTACTTTGAGTGGTGCGTGCAAGTTGTTTCAAATAAGTGATATTGTAAAAAAAAAAAAAAAAAAATGGTGAGAATACTTTACGTTAGCGTGACAAATTTGTAAAAGCTATACTAGCAGTATTTAAAATTAAAGATGAAAATTAAGCACGATGAATATAGACTTTTTATGATATTAACCAACCCTAACCTTAGTCTTACGAAAGTTTGAATTTTTTGCAGTTACCACTGTCCCTTCTACGGACGGCCCAGAACCATCCCATGGTAAGTAAAATGTTACAAACATATTGTCATGTTTTATGTCACAATACAGCTACAATTCGACATTTTGTTTCAGTTGGTGGAATTAAAGAATGGAGAAACTTACAATGGTCACTTGGTTAGCTGCGATAATTGGATGAATATCAATCTGAGAGAAGTAATTTGTACATCGCGTGTAAGTATTTACTTCATTTGGTTGGCCTAGTGTTGTTCCTAGTACAGTACCGGACAAAAGTTCACGTTTCTGTTGTACAGGATGGAGATAAATTCTGGAGAATGCCTGAATGTTACATCAGGGGAAGCACAATAAAATATCTTAGAATACCTGACGAAGTTATTGATATGGTGAAAGAAGAAACAATGGTCAAAGGCAGAGGTCGTGGAGAGATGAGGGGTAGAGGTGGACAAGCTCAAAGAGGAAGAGGTGGAGGACGAGGTAAGAAATGTGTTCTGTTGTTTGGTACATTGTCTTATTAGAGTACAGTATTCAGCAATAACCATTACTGAAATCCAAATTTATTGACCAGTACACATAAGTGGCATAGATAAAATATGGTTTGTGTGAATTTTATAGACATGTCTGTTGAATTATACATTTACCCTAAACAATTATACATACCTTTACATTTTTCAGGGTCATTTGGTGGCCGTGGAGGAAGACCAGCCCCCCTTGGCCGAGGTGGAATTGGGCGAAATCCACCAAATAAACAGAAGAATAAGTAGTGGTATTATGTGATCTCCAATGTACTGAAAGCTCCGTATTTAAAAACACTTCTTTAAATTTGAAAAGATGTGTGATTGAGAAAGTTCTGTACGCTTATTTTATTTTTGCCAGGAACTCAAGTCTAAGGAACAATAATTTATTTATAATGGGAGGTATGCTAGTGGATTATTTTGTAATTATGGTGTTCCAGAAACACTGCTTTTGTTGTGTGTTTTTGTTCATGTGCAAGTATTACACAATACCACTGTGGTTCAATTAATGTTCATATCAGTGGACTGATCTGTACATTTTATTGCCCAGTGTGCTTCCAGGTACAATAACTTTTCAACAGCATCTGTATACAGCATGTATGCAACTAAAAACATTTACCTCATACTAAAGCTACAATTAGAATATCTTTGCTTGTCGCTTAATATTTAATGATTATCTTCCTTTACAAAACGTAGTCCACAATAACCGCAAGCATGGTTGCCTGGTTGGTCCTGAAATTGAAACATAATCTCATAAATTTTGTAAATTTCAATTTTAGGTCTTCTGCAGTACATGCAGATATGAGAATGAAGGTCCTCAGTGCATATAAAGTTCACTGTGATGTATCATCAGAACTGTGACTGAAGAGATCTAAAGTCATGTACTTGAAGTTAACATCATATCATATGAGCATTTCTACACAAGTCCTATCTCAGCTGTTGATTTAACATAAATGTATAACTGTGGTATAGGAGTGTTTGCAGGGAGTTGACCTTAGTTGGGCATCAGCCTGTTAACAAATTTACCACATTTTTTCATTTGTCATCTATCCATAATACCAAATGTTCTTAAAAAAAAACGAAATTCTTAGTTCTGTTTCTGTATCTACATATAAATAATTGGCTGCGCCATAGCTCAAGCAGTTAGTCGCTGGCTTCCCACTGTGGCGGCCCGGGTTCAATCCCGGGTCTGGTCAAGTGGGATTTGTGGTGGACAGTGGTGCTGGTGCAGGTTTTCTCCAAGTACTTCAGTTTCCCCTGCCAATCTTCATTCCACCAATTGCTCCACAATCACCCTCACCTATCATCTGGGACTGGTACAATAGGCCAGAAGTGGCTGCAGTACAAGGGACTTGGTCCCACCCCACTAGGGATAAAAAAATAACATACAAATAATCATTTAAAGGAAAGTGGGCTTCATCAGAGTGTTCCAAAATTTGTCTGTTTTATACAGTATGAGTGCACTTCTATAATGACTACTTAACAATCTGGGTCCCTTCAACAGTTAAGAAACCTAATTTACAATCTGTAAATTGCAGCAAGCATAAACACATTAACACCTGCAAATATGAAGTGTTGTCTTATAATGAAATTCAAAATGTTATTCAACATTTACAGAATCTGTAATTTAAATACTTAATAACATTTCTACACAAATATTTGTGACCAATTCTTCAGATTCTTCATATATTACACCACATGACTGGTTGTGAATCCAAACTAAACATAAAACCATTCATAAACACAAATTTCATTTTACTTAACTCCAGTTCATACGAGTATTTAAAAAACAGAAAAATTGCTCACCACAGGAGGAAAAAACTGCTAAATGTTTTAAATGATACAAAGCTTTGAGAAAGTTAACCTACATGATGTGTCCAGGATGCATTAGGACTCCATCAGACAGATGTTTTCTGCAAGACTCATTGCGAGCTTTTGGGAATACCAAAAAGTACTGTGAATCAAATTTTGACCGAGGATTTGGGCAAATGGAAGGTCTGTGCGTGGTTTGTACTGCACGCGCTGTCAGGCGATGAAAAACATGCCTGAGTGGAACACTGCTAAGACATGTTAACAGTTGGCCCAAAGTGATACAAAATTTACAAAATCTATTGTCACTGGTGGCGAGACATGGTGTTTCCAATATGAGGCTCTCACAAAGCGGCAGAGTGCAGCGTGGTTGAGCCCAAAGAAGCTGAAACCAAAGAAAGCGCGCATGCAAAAGAGTTGAGTAAAGACAATGCTAACCATTTTGTTTGTTTCCAAAGGAATCATTCACAAGGAATTTCTGCCAGAAGGTCAAATAGTGAATTCTGATTATTATCTCGGAGTCCTCAATTGTCTGTGGGAGAGAATTCTTCAAATTCGACCTGAATATTGAGAGCAAGGTTCCTGGTTGCTCCTCCACGACAATGCCCCACCCCACAAACTGAAAATCGTGCGCGATTTTTTGGCCAGAAAAGGGATCACAGTCCTCGATCATCCTCCGTATTCGCCAGGTTTGGCTCCAGCAGATTTCCGGTTGTTCCCAAAAGTTAAGTTGGCGATCAAAGGAGACCGTAATGACACCATCCAGGACATCCAAAGCGAATCCGCAGTTTTAAATGCAATTCCATAAAAGGAGTTCAGTGACTGTTTTCGAAAACTTCTCAATCGATTCCAGCTATGTACTGATTCAGAAGGAGACTATTTTGAATAAAAAGAGTGAAATTTTGAAAATAGATCATGTCTTGTATTTTTAATGAACACAGTCCTAGGAGAACCTGGACACACTGTGTATGTTAATGGGGGGGGGGGATTTCTCATCACCTACACAGCATTTCAGCTTTCATTCACATGAAGTAACTTGTGACTGATGAGTGCTATCTCCTTGGATGTTTGTAATGCTGTTTAGTCCAGAAGGGACCACCAATATTTGGAAGTAATACCCTACCTGCACCTTTGGGGTCAAAGAGAGGCAGGCAAGAAACCAGCAGTATGCACATTACAAGCAGAGTTAGCTACATCTGACTGAACCAGGATGATATAGGAATATTGGAAGCCTCCTTTTGATGATTCTTAAGATAGGGTTCTCCCAGGCCTGTGGGCCTGGACACACTGTCATTATTAGGGCAGTAATTCTGCCCTTCAGGCATCCATCAAACCTGAGCCTTCTTGGCTTCTTTTCACTTGCTTACAACCTACTTACACTTATATCTCTCTACCTATTACACACATTAATGACCTCTCTCCTTCAAAGTAACAAAAATGTCCATTTTCATGACCACTGAGTTACTCTTTTCTGTGTCCTACTGGTTTATTCTGAGACTCTGCAGAATGACAGGTCTGCTTCAACTGACTCTTGAGATTCATCCTAGTCTATATCAAGATTACACGTAGGTTGTACTGAAAGTCATGAGCAACTTTTTTTTGCATTCAACCTGGGAACAGAAGACGAAAGAGAGTGGGGTGGTAGGTGGAACCAGCTGTTTTGTTAACCTTGAGTGTCTTGTGATGTCAATAGCTTGCATCACGTGACCAGTATCACTCCTAACAAAAGGGACAACAACGCTATGTAGTTTCGCCAGCGTGCTGTCATCAAATTTCTTGTGAAAGAGGAAATCCCTGCTGCAGAAATTCACCAGAGACTTCAGCATGCATATGGAAGTGTGTGCATGGGTGTGAGCAGTGTTTGAAGTGGGTGGAACATTTTAAAGACGGGACCAGCATTGAAGATGAGCCTCAGAGCGGTGGTCCTCGAACAGCCTCAACTGAACGCAACGAGGAAAGAGTGGATGAGATCGTTCAAGATGACAGGCGTGTTACTGTGGACACAATAGCCCAAAAACTTGGAATAGGGCACAGTGCAGTACAGGAGATGGTTGAAAGCTTGGGCTATAGGAAGGTTTGTGCTCGTTGGGTCCCGCGGTTATTAACCTAAGACCACAAAGGTCAGCGAAATGCCATCACCTCAGAACTGCTGCACAGATATTGACACGAAGGCGATGATTTTTTGCTCTGTATTGGGACAGGTGACAAAAGCTGGTTTCACCAGCCTGAAATGAAACGGCAGAGTATGGAATGGCACCATTTGCATTCATCAATAAAGAAGGCAAAGACAGTGCCACCAGCTGTGAAGGTGATGGGCACAGTCTGCTGGGATGCAGAGGGGTTTATTCTGGCCGAATTCCATCATGCATTGCATGATAAACATCCTGGACGAAACATCATCATCCTGCATGACAGCGCTTGCCCCCATGCTGCTGGCCTCACATTGGAAGCAATTGCAACGATGGGGTAGGAACTTCTTCCACACCCCTCCTATAGCCCTGATCTGGCACCCTCCGACTACCATCTTTTCAGATTTGTGAAGGATCAGCTGCGTGGACAACGTTTTGAGACAAGGGAGGCAATTTAGAAAGCAGTGCGTCAATGTCTTCAGATGGCTGGAATGGAATTTTACAGAAGGGGAATTTTCAAACCCCCAGAACGCTGGGAGAAATGTGTACAAAGAAGTGGCAATTATGTGGAAAAATAAAGAAAGGCCTGTAGATTGAGGTGGTGTATTTGGTTTGTCAATAATAAAGCATGTTACTTTACAAAAAATTGTTGCTCATGACTTTCAGTACGACCCTCGTAGTTTTCAGCATGCAGCATGCTCTGCTTGCCACCTGCTTCTTGTTAATTTTTCACTTGGCTTATGCTTTGACCTTGATGGAGGCTGTACATTCCTCAAAAACACTGGTGGACTTCTGGTAGACTATACAGTAATTACATCCTTCAAATACATACGTCATGCATTACATACTTCAAATCAACCATAATTTGGGCTTAATTATGAAGAATCTTTCTTTGATATTGTCCACTATCAGTATAAAAACTGATATACAATGCCTTCATCTTCAAGTAGAAGAAAAGGGGGAGTTACACTGTGGAAATGTATTACATAAAACAACTAATAATCAGACCAAATTTGGCTTTATCTAATACAGCCCACAATGTAAATACCATTTTCCTTCTACCAGAAGATGGGGACACAGACAGCCCAGAAAATTTTTCCATAATGGTACTAAACCACTGTCACAAACAATCCCATCTACAAGTTCGGTCTAATATTTACACAAAAACATACCAGATTTATATACACTTTAGGATGTCCAGTTGGGCCACCGCCTCCATCACACCAGACCACCCGTTCCTTCCTTGGGGATGGAGGTACTTCATCAATTAGACTGATGGCAAAATTGGTGTTCACTTGCTTTGGTCTCTCGACAAAACGTGCCAGACGATAATCATTCTTATCCCATTTCTATAAACAATGATCTTTATCAGACAGTATCTGTGAAATATGACTGAGTAAAATATTTTTATATAACACAAGTACTGCTCAGATCCTCAACTCTCCCACCTCTTTTCTCAATTATATCAACCTCAACACAACCTATCAGAAGCTGTCTACTAATGGAGAAACTAAATAAACTACAGAAATTATAAATGAACCAAGGTAACATAAATCTACCTTTTCCTTCAGGATCTTATGTATCCTTACTACCTAAGTGAAAATTGGCATTAAAACTACTGAAAAGAATATGCAAGATTGTATACTTTAGAAGGTATTCAGAGATTCGGAAACAAAATTATAACAACTGTATAATTTATGCTTGCCGTCTCTTATTGCTCTCAGTAAGTATATTACAGAGTAATAAACATTTTATTAAATTAATGAGACACCAATAACTATAAAAAACATGTCACACTCAAAAAGTAATTGCACAGGACAACACTGAAGTTTGGTTCATGACACTGACCCTATTAAATGCTGAGCGATTTCTGCACCTATCTTTCTTTGCTCATGATGATGACAATGCCTTTTACAAGCAACCTTTACTGCAAATTTCTGTTTTTGTCATTTCCCTTCCAGTACACACCAGAAATGTTCGTATGATTGCAGAAAATCTGAAGCATATGGCAAACATACAGCTGCCATTCTCTTATTTTCATAGCAGGGTCATTTAAACCTGTTTTTCCACTGACAAAAGATCTCTTTTTTGAGGTTCTTCTATGTAATTGCACACTGTGCAACTACACGGAGAACTGGCATTATTAAATTGTGAAGCTATGTCTATGGTCAAGTTCCAAGCAAATGTTGATGGTATCTACTGTATCTTTTTACTAATACAAAGTGTAGGGCCACGCCATAGCTCAAGCAATTAGTCGCTGGCTTCACACTGCAGCGGCCCGGGTTCAATCCCGGGTCTGGTCAGGCGGGATTTGTGGTGGACAGAGTGGTGCTGGGGCAGGTTTCCTCCAAGTACTTCAGTTTCCCCTGCCAATCTTCATTCCAACAATTGATCCACAATCACCCTCACCTATCATCTGGGGCTGGTACAATAGGCCATAAGTGGCTGCAATACGAGGGACTTAGTCCCACCCCACTAGCATTAAAAAAATACAAAGTGTGTCAATGAATCAGGTGATTTGGCAGCGCTGTTTTTTCCTGGATTAGTTGGAGTGGGGAGGATGCCATTACTGCCACCCAGCAGCCTACTTAAAAGCATTTTAGTTGCAATGGAGCCGTGGACTGGAGCACGTGCTTTTGCTGTTAAAGCATTTTAGAAAAACAGTGACAGTTTCATGGTCACTCAGCGTGAATTTCAAAGAGAGTTTGGTATTCGTTGCAATCGTGCAGTTCCATCTGCCCATGCCATCAAGACCCGGGTTCAAAACTCTGAAGCTACTGGTTCTACAGTAAAGAAGATGGTAGTGTAAAAACAGCATGTACACCCAAGAATGTAGCGGCAGTGAGAGAAGCCAATGAACCAAGTCCACGCTGGTTTGTGCGTCACCATGCTACATCACTTGGGGTTTCCAAAGCCAGTATTCAATAGATTTTGCACAAAGATCTCCACTTCTACCCCTATAAAATTCAAATTACTTACGCACTACACAAACACCACTATGAAAACAGAGTTAATTTCTGCCAGACTTTTTTGCAATTAATTAATCAAAACCAAGATGTTGTTAACAACTTACTGATGAGTGATACTCATTTCCATTTATCGGGGTTTGTTGACAAGCAAAATTTCCATTATTGGTCAGCCACAAACCCATAAGAAATTTATGAGAGACCACTTCACAGTTCTAAAGTTACAGTATCAGTATGATGCGCAATATCTTCGTTTGGAATTATTGGCCCGTACTTCTTTGAAGATGAGTGGGAAAGGGCTGTAACTGTGACTGGACCATGTTACATTCACATGTTGGAGAGCTTTTTAGCTCCTGCACTTTCTCATCTTCCAGTCAAGGAAGAAACGTTTTTCCAGTAAGATGGGGCTATGTGCCACATCGCACAAGCTTCCGANTTTGCACAAAGATCTCCACTTCTACCCCTATAAAATTCAAATTACTTACGCACTACACAAACACCACTATGAAAACAGAGTTAATTTCTGCCAGACTTTTTTGCAATTAATTAATCAAAACCAAGATGTTGTTAACAACTTACTGATGAGTGATACTCATTTCCATTTATCGGGGTTTGTTGACAAGCAAAATTTCCATTATTGGTCAGCCACAAACCCATAAGAAATTTATGAGAGACCACTTCACAGTTCTAAAGTTACAGTATCAGTATGATGCGCAATATCTTCGTTTGGAATTATTGGCCCGTACTTCTTTGAAGATGAGTGGGAAAGGGCTGTAACTGTGACTGGACCATGTTACATTCACATGTTGGAGAGCTTTTTAGCTCCTGCACTTTCTCATCTTCCAGTCAAGGAAGAAACGTTTTTCCAGTAAGATGGGGCTATGTGCCACATCGCACAAGCTTCCGAGGGAGTTGTGAATAACCTATTTCCTAACCATGTTATCTCCAGATACGGGGACATCGTATGGCCGGCCAGGTCACCTGATCTTTCCACATGTGATTTTTTCTCTGGGGGCGTATCTGAAATCTGAAGTTTTCAAAGCTCCAGCACCCCACACAGTTCAGGAGTTGAAACACAGAATTCAGGAAGAAGGTGAATGATTGCCCATAGAGATGCTGCAAAGAGTAATGAATAACTTTAGGGAGAGACTTGCCGAGTGCCTACAGTGGAATGGTGGTCATCTGTCAGATGTTGTTTTTGGGAAATAGGCTTCTGCTTTTAGTGAGTTAATTGAGAAAAACCAAATGCTTTTATGTTTACACTGTATTCATATGTGTTAAAACTAAAACGCTTTGAAGTAGGCAGTAGTGGCATCCCCCACACTCCAACCAATCAATGAAAAAACACTGCCGCCAAATTGCCCGATTCATTGACACACACTGTATATCATAATCATTCTTCAGTAGTCAGAAATTTCTGCTGCCCTGAATGTGGTTCATTTTTACTTGTGCCAAAGTCTTTTTTTCTCCTAACTCTATACTATGCCGATAAAATTACAGTTTAATTTACTTCTAATCTCATGACAGCTGTGATCTTGACAGCACATAAGAATGATCTAATCCCATACAGATTACGACCATCAAAATTCTTTTTGTAGTAAAAAAAAGTTAAGTGAAAACAAACCGTGATAACTGTAAGTCATGCTGACTAAAACTGTGGCAAAAAATTTGTTATGAAGCTTTAATCCTCTTCATTACAATGTTCACAGACAATCAAAGGGGGATTGTCACAAAGAAAATTATTAAAATATTGGGAAGCCTTGAAAGGAGGGTCTCTTGTAAAGATTTATTTAAGAAATTCTACATTATTCAATTAGCTAGTAAATTCTTACTCTCATAATTATTATCTGTTGTGGGTAACATGGAAAATTTAAAACAAATTTGTACACACACAAGTACAATATTTTAAATCAGCATTAAAAGAGTATCTCTTATTGCATTCCTTCCATTCTTTAGCCTGTATATGTATTATATTTCTATTTCTACTTATCTACAACTACTACGTTTTACGACATGTTCTATATCCTTGGCTTATGCCTACGGATCCATAAAATGCAAATAAATTAGAAACTTAACATTTGTGTATTTGTGCAACTGATGAATTACTAAGGATTTAATTAGTGCACAATACTGTTATGTTATAATGCAAGTAACAAATTCATCATTAATTTTGATAAATTACAAAGATAAAAGGATGGTACGCAATGTTTTTCGTGTGGCCTGGTTATTAGTAAGGTTATAACTGCACAGATCATATATGTAGCATACTTGTCCCGTATGGGTTTCCTTCTCTACCGGTTCCCAAGAATGTCTTGAGATATCTGATGAATACCTAGAATGAATTACAGGAACAGTCTCAATAAATTTTAATATATCCAGTCCTTTATGTAAGACTAACATTCTTCCACCACACACAATCGCCATCTTCACATTCCTTCCCGCCCTGCTGCCATGGATCTCCCACTGTGACCTTAACATCAGGTTAGATAACCGCTGCCAACTAAGATGAGACTGTACTTGGTCACAAATCTTCCTTTCAGGCCGAGGACACACCAAGGAAACTGGCAACCTCAACGCAACCACAATTTCCGAGAATCGTTATCAGCATGTGTAGAACACATGTTTATTTTATTGCTAGTGGGGTGGGACTAAGTTCCTTGTACTGCGGCCACTTTTGGCCTATTGTGCCAGCCCAAGATGATAGGTGAGGGTGATTGTGGAGTAATTGGTGGAATGAAGATTGGCAGGGGAAATGCAAGTACTCGGAGAAAACTTGCCTCAGGGCCACTTTGTCCACCACAAATCCTACTTTACCAGACCCGGGATCGAACCCGGTCTGGCGCGGTGGGAAGCCAGCGACTAACTGCCTGAGCTATGGCGCGGCCTTGAACACATGTTACTGAAAGGAGCAGCGCAAATTGACAAAACTGCAACGCAATTCGCGCAAAGACTGAGAAACTCAACTTCTTTCCACAATTGCATTACCGCTTGGTGTCCTGGTTTCAGCTGTTCTATAACGCGCTTCGGTGATTCATTTGTTTCGTGGGATGGTAAGTATGAAAGGTTAACGAAGCTGCTAATTTTGTCTCTGTGGAGTTAATTGAGCAAGAGCCCATTACAGATGACCAACGCCACCCAGACTATGATAGGTGGAACAAAATAGATTTGGTTGGGAAAGAATTTCTCATGATACGAAAAGGCCTGGATATAGGTGAATTTCTTTCGAAACATTATAAGCGCCTCAGTTTAAATTGTCCTGCTGCATTAATATACCATTTACCTCACATATATTTCCGTCTTAAATGCAACTTAATATATACTCACCCTTCTTCCACATTTACATGGTTCGGCTGCATACGGCCATCATCATGTGTCTTCTATTTTTCTGTATGTCAAAATTTCGTAATGCGTGGGAACGTGATATTTCCTGATTAAAATAAATTGACCTAATTAAAAGAAATGAATTAACATCCCAATATTTTCCTTATGATCGTCCTCTCTTCCCACGCCGTCTCAACCGATTTCAACTACCACCATATTATGACAGGATCAGTATTATTATCTTCGATTGTAGAAGGTAAGTGCACGAAATTAAAAAATTCACTCATGCATTGCGTCCAATGAACATTTTTTTTTTCCTGTGGCGCTACAGCCCCAATTTGGGCCTAGGCCTACCTCCATGAAACTCTCCGTTTCACTTCGGTTTACTAGATCTTACACATACGGTAGGACTCCTTGGGCGAGTGATCAGCTCGTCGCAAGGCCTCTACCTGTAGACAAACATAAAAAAACGCACACAAACATCCATGCCCTGAGTGGGATTCGAACCCACGATCCTGGCTTCCGAGCGAGCGAAAACAGTGCATGCCTTAGACCGCTCGGCTACAGTGACCAGTCCAACTCACTTAATATAATGTGAGCAACTAATCAAACATAAGTTTCTTCAGTGTGCACCTGCTAATCTGGAAACCAGTTGCCTGCTTCTTATCGGCTACATTTCTCATAAATTGTGGTTGCGTTGCGGTTGCCAGTTTCCCTTGTGTGTCCACGCCCATAGACCATAACCATCCCACACCAACACTCAAACAAATGTAAACTCAAAACGAGGGCAGAATAACTACATATCAAAAACAACGAAAAACTGTAACGTAAATGAAAGAAACAGGACTCGTTGGACTAAGAGCACAAGTTTGGTCGGTGATATTATCAATGAAGAAGAAGAAGAAGAAGAAGGTATGACGGATACCTTCCATGCAAAGAAATGTAAAATGTATACATTCATCCTCTTCCTTATTTTTATGTTTTGTTACTTTTTACCCAACTACTTATTTCCTTGCCTCGACTCTATGCTTCTTTTAGGTGGTAACCATTACGCATTAACGTATCCCCCACCATAACGCTACTGATCCGTGAACATAACTCTCAGGACCGCTCAATACTGCGCAAGATGTAGCTTCCAGTAATTACGAAGAATGCACCAAAACCATTCCGATATTTTGAGCTTACAATTTGTTAGATACACAGTTTACAGCTTCTTTAATAATATCCTGCTCTGATTAAAAGTACCTAATCTTATGACACCAGGTGCCTCGTACGCACATTTATTTCTCGAATTGTAAGTTTATTCTGGAAATTATTTTTTATGGAATAATTCGGCTACGTATTTCGCAGTATTGTGCCAATCTGAGTCGAAAATCATTTTCTATGCTAATAACATTCTGCGTGTTGTCTCGACAATTGTTGGTCTCATAGAAACGTAGTCTAACATTGCGTCAGATAGTGAAGGTCAGTAGCGTTGATAGTGTGAGAAAGTGTGTCTACAATTCTGATTGCGGATATGATGTGTAGTTAAGAGCTCGAAAATGAATTTATATTCGTACATAAGAGGCTTATTTGGATTTCCAGAATATAAGAAAGACAATCAGTCACACAGGTAGCTTATTTAACATATTTTCTGACGAAATGGTGTTTAATCAGACCACAGTAAATACGCTAATTGAAGAGCTTTGGTGATAAAATACAAACATTCTGAACTGCAAGCGAAAATGGGTGATTAGTTCAATTGTACCTTGCCAGTCTGCTGTGTTTTGAATATCGATACCACGTAGCGTCGATGATAAGACAATTGAGGAATATGGAGCAGTTGAGAAAACGGAAGTACTTGAGAAAACCTTCCCCATTGCCACTTCTTCCACCATAAATCCCACATGACCTGGGTTCGAACTCAGGCCACCACAGTGGAAGCTGGTGACTAACCCCCTGAGCTATGGCACAGCCATGCCATTTTATCATTATGATAAATTAACTTGCTGTGAATAATCGTGATAATGACATGATAACCTCTTTTGTGTACATAAAACTTGCAGATTTAGTCAAATGTATTTTTTATTTTCATTTGTACCCTGTGTACTGCATTCTAGAAACTACAGTTAGAATCAGGTGAATACTGTGTACTCTTCCATCAATCCATCCATTCGTTCATCACTTTGCCTTCCTACAGTTGTTTTTTCACTTTCACTTTTTTATTTGTTCCATAAATCGTTATTGACAAACATGCCACAGGATGTAGAACATGTCAAAGATAATTATAAAAGAAGAAACAGTTCCTATACAAAGCTTTGTCAACAATAAAATAGGTACAATAAAATAAGAATAGCCTAAACATATAATGGATTATCACATTTCTTTACAGTATGCTAAAATCAAGATATAAATATAATAGTATCAAAAATATAAACATTATAAATATAAAATCAAAATAAAATTATAAAGTATATTATTGTATTATATTAAAATATTCCTCTAGTGAATAAAAGGAATAAAGATACAGAAATTCCCTCAATGCGCTTTTAAATTGTTTTATATCATTTGACAATAGTTTTATAGGAGCAGGCAGTCTATTAAAAACCTTAATCCCTGTATAATGTAAGCCTTTTTGGTACAGTGACAGATGAGACCGTGGGTAATGCATATCGAGACTGTTCCTAATGTCTCTATTATGCCTCTGGGAGTTTCTTTTAAAGTGTTCACTGTTCTTAATCACAAATATCAAAAGTAAATATATATATTGTGATTGTAAAGGTAATATATTTAGTTTTTTAAAATATTCTCTACACGATTTCCTATTTCCAATCCCTACCATAATTCTAATAATTCTCTTTTGGAGTTTAAATATTGTGTTACTATAATAACAGTTCCCCCAAAATATCAATCCATAGGTCATTATGGAATGGAAGTATGAGAAATATACTGACTTAAGCGATTCGAGGGACAGGAATGGCTTAATAGCTCTAACTGCAAAGCAGGCTGAGCTTAATTTAGGAATAATTGCATCTATATGGTTTTTCCAAGAAAAAGTGCTATCTAATGTCAATCCAAGAAACTTTACATTACTAGTATTTGCTATTTCTCTGCTCTCATACATTACATGTAAGTCTATTAGGGAGCTTCTTTTGGTTACAAATTGCATGTACTGTGTTCTCATTCAGGGATAACAAATATGTAGTAAACCAGAATTTTGTTAGCACAATTAGTAAAATCTGTTAGGTTGAGACTTTTCACAATTATACTAGTATCATCCGCATAAAGAACCATTTCAGCCTTATTATTACCTATCTTTGGTAAGTCATTCACATAAAGCAAGAAAAGCAATGGTCCAAGTATTGAACCCTGGGGGACACCGTGCTTTATTTCTCCCCAGTTTGAACTTGCCTCAGGGGAATTATTATCTAGGACCACTTTTTGGTGTCTACCTTCCAAGTAAGATTTCATTAGTTTGAGGAATATTCCTCTTATTCCATAGAATTCTAACTTTGTTAATAGGATATCATGGTTAACGCAATCAAATGCCTTCTGCAGATCACAAAAAATGCCCCCAACCACTTTTTTTTCATTCATTGCCTTCATAATTTCATTTATCAATTTGTAAGATGCATTGTCTGTTGATGTGGTTGGTCTAAACCCAAATTGCTCATTTACTAAAATATTATTACCTTCAATATGTTGCAGGAGTCTTTGATAGATAATTTTTTCAAACACCTTCGAGAATGTGGTCAATAGAGAAATTGGCCTGTAATTAGCTATATTTCTCTTGTCACCCTTTTTGAATAGTGGTTTCATAATGGAGTATTTTAAACGAGTAGGAAAAATTCCTAACGTTATAGATTTATTACAGATATAGTTTAAAGGAGAACTTATGAAGGGGGTACTAACTTCTAGCATTTTTGTGGTGATTCCATCATATCCATGAGAATTCTTTGTTCTAATAGAGTTGATAATTCTTTCTGTCTCTGTAGTTGTTGTATTTTTAAATTTAATATCAGGAAAAGGAATTTCTGACATCCTAGATAGATAATGGCTTATATTTTTGGTGCCCTTTGAGCTTCCTGTATCTCTGTTTTTAATTTTCTGTGTAATATGTTCAGCTATAGTTAGAAAATGATCATTGAAGGCATCAGGGGAGTTTTCATGTTTACTAGCAGTGTGATCTTTCTTTCTGTTTGTTACTGATCTTATAATGTTCCATGCTGTTTTCATTTTATTTGAAGAGTTGTTTATTTGCTTATTATACATAGTCTTTTTAGCTTCAATGATTACTCTAGTTAATATTTTACAGTATTGTTTATAATGTCTCTTTAAAGTGACATCATTGCTATTCTTACTAAGTAAGTATAGCTGTCTTTTATGGTTACAGGAAGTTTTTATACCAATTGTTATCCACTGTCTATTGTTATTCCTTCTACTTACTGTTCGAAGGGGAAAGCTTGTGTGGACTATTCTTAAATAGTTATTCATGAATGTGTTAGATAAGACGTCTACATCATTGCCGTTGTCATTAAATATACTGTCCCAGGATTCGTAACTCAGTCTATTTTTAAATTCCTCCACAGAATATTTATTTATGTTTCTAGTATAATATCCACTGTGGTTATCTATTTGAGTGTCAGTATCTTTTATAAATGACAATTGAGCATCGTTGGTCAGATAATCCGTTATATAAAGGGGAAACATTGTATTTTGTAAATTTTTGCTTATCTATAAATATATTATATATTGCTGTACTTGTGTGATTATGAATTATTATTTTATCCTTTGTTCATAGAAATGCTACAAAAATGAAGAAATTTAGTAATTTATAATTTTGCGTTCTATTGCTTTTTTGCTTGTTTTAATTTTCCTTCAAGTTTAGTGTGTGCTGTGATGATGAAAGCCTGTAAAATACTTATGTAACTTATTTAGATATAGTTCATAGTGATATTGGCATTTTGGGGGGGGGCAACCTTAGCTGTCTAAGCACATAGACCACTACTAGGATCATTGTGCATCTCCTAATGTTATTAGGACACTACAGTGAGCCCTGACCTTTATGCTAGGGCCAGTACTATCTTGATTTGGGCCCTCTTGATCATCAATGTGCAATGGCCAGTCAACAGCCCTCTTACCAGCCTACACTGTTTCCTGCCCAAGGCCGGTAAGTCCCTATGCAATTTGGCCAAAGCCCTTTCAATAAAAATCTTTGACTTTCACTTACCAAGTGTGAAAGCCCAGTATTGTGTCTTTCCTTCAACTACTCTTTAATCTCAGCCCACCAATACATGGAGACATTGAAATTGCTGGTTTAGGAGTGAGGAGTGGTGTACTGGCTCTTTCCCTAGATAAGTCATCTGCATACATCAGCTTAAAGCCGATTTTCGAAAATGTCACCGCTGGCCGCAACACAGGCTGCTACTTGGTTGTGAACCACGCCGGACATACCCCCCCCCCCACCTTAGGTAGCTTTAAAGTGTCGAGATATCAGATAACGAGAACGCTCTGTCTGTAGCTGGTTAAAAATAGCGACCTGCCAGCTGACAGATGCAGTTCATATGAGGGCGTGTACGGGAATGAAAAAACGGTCATAACTCTGTAACCATCCAAAATCGGACACATGTTTATATGAACTTTTTTGATCACAAAGACCTAGGAAATCACCTCCTGCAGTTATGCCCTAAAGTCGTGAAACAACCTGTATACTTTTTTGCACAGCCTGAAATCACAGCCTCATGTTTTGTGGGTATTGGGAACACATTTCCTAGCATAATGCAAGTGGGATATAAAGCTGACCGCTTGGTTCCATCTAGTTCCAAAAAGAGTGTGGAGCAAAACAGCACTTTTATTCGATTCTTCTATGTTGTCTGTTAATGAATTAAACAATTTTAGTTGTTTTATTTTCAGTAATTTGCATTGATAAAATAATTGTTTTATAGGCAAGATGATAAACCATGTGGATCCCTACTTGATGAATTTCACAGACCCATTTGGATCAGGGATGAGAACAGTGATTACAAGTAAGTCTGAAAAACTGTGGTTTTTATTAATAATTGCAGACCCTTTCTTCAAGGTGTGTTGATGACCCAAGAACAATGGAGATGGAAGTGGTATAGCCACATATTTTCAGAACTTGCATTTGCATGAGTGTTTTCTCATCTATTTCTCCCCTTCTTTGCAGTGAAATGATCAGATAACATTTCATTCTGTACTGTGGACATAGCATATCATACTCCTAGATGTTTGGGTTAAATTATATTACAGTCATTTAATTGATTTAACAATCACATGACTACAATTTCCATATAACTCCTCTAACAGAAATGAGTACCAGGAATTAATTAAATAATTTTCCTGGGGAGCAAAGGGCGGCCGGCGCGTAAGGCTGACAACCTTACCCCCATCTTTGAGGTGATTGTCTAGATAGTGTGGGGGACCCTCAACGTCTCACAACCCTATGGGCCTTCATGGCCTGGTACAGGGATAGCTTTACTTTTTTTTTTCTACTTTATATAACTATTCTGTGTGCAATTAACAATATCTCTAAAAGCACATAATCTCAGATTTTAATTTCATCTCAGTATTTTTGTTAATCCATAATGTATACAGTTTTATAAAATTCATATACATTCATATATGTCCGGAACATTATATATTTATAATAAAATAAAATATTTTAGTCTGTGATCTTAGTAGGAGTATGTTAGGAATTCTGAAGTTTTAATTTTCTTGGTCTGGTTTGTATTCCACTGCTCATTGATCTATCATGATTTATATTGCTTCATAGTATCAAGCAACCATTTTGTCCCCTGTAGCATGTGTAATTTTGCTGTGTTGTTGTTTGGCTATTATGGTACAGAAGCAAAATATTGCACGTTTCATATTTTTTTCCCAGTATCCATCCTGGCTTCTAATTTTTCATTTTTAAGATGGCATTTAGATCTATAAAAATGTTTAGGCCGGTTAAGGCAGTCTAATTTACATTGATGTTTTTTGGTTGTTTCTTGGGTAGTTATGTTTATGAATATGTGTTGTGTGTTAAGAGTCAGCTGCATACATTTACCATTGTTTGTAGAGTTGATAGCTTGTGTGGGGGATGCATGACCACCATTGCATCCGTAAAGCTGTTTGCAGAAAAACATTCAAATTGATGAGTATCAAATATTGGCAGCCCTGTCTCATATGTTTGAGGCAGGTAGATTTGTTTTTGTTTAAGGCAGGTACATTTGTTTTGGTGCCTGGAATGGCTGTGTAGTTAATGGGAGTTGAACTGCAAGAAAGTGACTAGGAGCCAGTAAGATTAAACTGTAGGTAAATATACTCGTATATCTTTGTGAATGTTGAAAATTGTAATATAATAATAATAATATAATAACATTAGTGGTCTGAAAATGTTTGTGTTCTTGTGGACAACAGGAAGTTGAGATGTGGTAGACTGTGATGATTTTCCTCCAGTGTGTGCATTCTCCTCTCCCACCAGTTACTTGTATTCAGATTTTCATTCCTCCTGCAGGAGGCACTTTTATGGCTTGTGTTCTCAGCTTGTATTTGGTATATTGTTTGAACGCTTTTTTGATTTGTTTCCTTTTAATTTTATTTATTTTCAATATTTGAAATATACTTTTTATGTTTTAAATTTATAAATGTTAGTTTTTCAGTTAGTGTAACAGTTAAGATGACATATTGTTTGGAAAGGGAATGAATTGCAAGATGGAAGTGTGGGGCAACTTTCCTGTATTTAACTTTAATAAAATAATGATAATAAAGGTTTTCATATTGTCGTGTGTTTCCTAGGCAACATGACAAGAAATTTTGTGGGTTTAGGATTTGAACAAATATTTATTGGACAGTCACTTGTACGCTCACAGTTACAGATAGTCACGACTTATAACGTTTTCAGACATTTCCTCTTCAGCGTTAAAACATTCTCGCACCACCATTCTCAGTGAAGTGTCTTATAGTCTGTTCTCTTGCCGAATACCAACTATACTTTTCTAATGTCAAATACAAACTGAACTAGTCTCTTGTCGCAGTTGGACTCTCATAACTTCCACGTGGACTCAGTAGGGAATACCATGTTGAAGGGTTAACCTTGCCCACTGCTATTGAAACGCTGCTTCAAACAACTCGTTGCTTGGATATTGTCAGCCATTGTTCCAATTCCTAGGCGTTGCAGCAGGAATGCTGGTCGTTACCTAGGAAATCAGCTCTGATCTCCGAATACCAACTATACTTTTCTAAGGTCAAATACAAACTGAACCAGTCTCTTGTCACAGTTGGACTCTCATAACTTGCACGTGGACTCAATAGGGAATACCATGTTGAAGGGTTAACCTTGCCCACAGCTATCAAAACGCTGCTCCAAACAGCTCGTTGCTTGGATATTGTCAGCTGTTGTTCCAATTCCTAGGCATTGCAGCAGGAATGCTGGTCGTTACCTAGGATATCAACTCTGATCTTCACAACCATTCCAGGTTTCTGGCAGCACACCAGAATATTGAAATTACTCTTGTGTTTTGGAACAGTTACTATAATTGCTACTAATCTTGATGTTGATTTGTTATTTGTCCACAACTGTTTCACCATATGCCATTTCACAGCCCTCTTCCTGCCTCTTGCACTGAACTAACTTGGAAATGACAGAACGTTTGGCTTCATGTCTAGACCTGCACACATGACCACTCATCGTCACTTCCCAGCTAAGAATGAGACTAAGACTGAGCTCAAGACTGTCCTCTCCCCGCTATGCCGCCATGGTTTTGTCAATGCTGGCATGTGACGCCCCTCCCCACTATGCTCATTTCACATAATATTAAAGTTAATGGCAGTAATGATTATAACAGTGAGTAATAATTAGATACACACAACTTTATCCTTCTGAGGATAGGAGGTGCATAGTATAGGGAGGATGGGAGAGTGACTGGCCTGCTTGAACCCTCACTAGCCATGTTTAATTCTTTCCTTGATCCAAGTGCAATTATCCAGCAGCTTCATGGATCTTGTGAGCAATTGTGTTCTGACTTCAGATTTTTTTTCTGCTCAAACACTGTATTGACACCATTTACCACACTGTCCTTATTAGAAAAACACAGTTGCTGAACGATTTAGAGCAGTGGCTTTCAGCCTCTTCATGTAGGCAACCTCTCTTGAGGAAATATACTCCCCCCCCCCCCCCAAAGATAGGAAAATGTTCCCATATCACACATCCAAACATTTCTTTGTAAAGTATGTTTATAGTGGACACTCTTTATAGCCTTTTGAGACTGTCTTTAGAGTGAGATTCTAATCTTTTATTCATACACACATTCATTTATTGAGAAAAGAGTAATTTGTCCAACCAACTGTTAATTCAGCAAACAATTATAAATTTCATAATATTTCCCTTGCTTCCTTTTATTTGCTTCATAGCAGAACTCTGATGTGAGAATGTGATATCACGTTGCAAAAGTGCATGATGTGTGATCTTAAGACTTAAAGGTGTGAATTATTAGACAGATCACATGACAATCAACATAACTTTATAATTAGCAAAACCTTGATGACTGCCTCTGTGGTCTAGTGGTCAGAGTTCCTGCCTACAGATACACAGGTCTCGGGTTTGATTCTCGGCACTACCGGATTTTCTGAGTAGTGGGTCTGGAACTGGGTGCACTCAGCCTCATGAGGACGATTGAGAAGTTAGTTCAAGGAAATAGTGGCTCTGGTCTAGAAAACCGAGATTAACAGCCATGGGGATTCGTTGCACTGACCACACGACAGCCTCTGTCTGCAAAAGTTGGCACTAACTTTGCTGACAAACGGCAGTCACTCAGTTGGTATAGTTCGCTTGCAGATTACAGGCCACAGAGTTTGTTTTTTATCTCTAAGAACAACAAGCTGTGTTTGGATATGCTCCTTATACACTTATATACTTGTACAGGTGGTGTACTGGTTAACGATTTTAAGTAATTGAATTATTTTCTATTTCTAGGACCTGCCCACCACACAGATCATTTGGGTATGATATCTTTAGCAGTCCAATAGAAATTCATAGACATTTTGAACAACAGATGGAAACAATGTCAAGACTTTTTGAAACGTTTGATAACATATTTGGTAAGAGCATTTGTGTCATCCGTTTCATAATATGCCTTTAGTTTCTGAATGTGGAAATTTTAATTTTATTTTCAACATGCTTTTTTCATTTTGTTTCTTTTAGGAGGTTCCTTTCAGTCACATCCACCAGTCTCAGACCAAGATCAGTACCAAGGCAACCAAGATTTAAGGGACAGATATGTGAAACCAAGGCACTGGCATGACTCACAAGAAAGTGAATGGATTCCTGGCCATGCCAGAAGAGAAAAGCAGTTGGATGATGATTTAGATGATAGGTGAGAAAAGTTTTGGCACAATAATAGTATTGGTGATTGATTTAACAGAGAAGTAAAACCGTCAATTCTTGTTTTCTGAAAGGAAAAGTTTATAGAACAATGCAGCTGCCTTCAGATTATTGTGCTTTAAGGTACAGCTTTAAGAGCCATTTGAAATTAGACATAGTATGTAATACTTGAAGTATAACTGTGTAGAATTTAAGTTTATTGTAAATATTCAGTTAAATTTCTGGATACTAATACATAACTTGTAAGCACAACAATTAACACTTTAGCTGATGGATGTGATGTTACTATTATTTTACAGAAGGGATAAGGTTTTAAATTTTCTCATATATTAATATTATCAGTAACTTTATGGATAGTAGATCACATAACTTCTGGATTTTTATGATATTGTGGTGTGGCAGCTGAAAGGCCAGAATAGCAGAGCAAGAAGAAGAAGAAGTCTGCTGCTAGGTAATGGCTCAATGTGTATTGTGGCAACAGGTATGTATATGACAATAGAGGAACTGCTGGAAACGGTGTTTTCTATGCAGCCTGTACCGAGGCTGTATAATGAGGACCAATGGGACAAAACATTTATTTGAGGGAATTGAGTCCGGTTGTGAGATGGTAGAGAGTAATTATGTGAGCACAGAAGTAGATGAAATGACATTGTTGGGAGCTGCTGCCAAGGAACAACTAGTGAAGACATAGCAGATTGAGAAGACTTAGTGTTTGTAGTAGTTATTTGTTAAGTATGTAGAATAGCATTATCATTTTAATTATCCATAGTTGCAAGTTACATGTGTTCAGTAAATCCAGTTACCAGTCCAAACCCTGTGTCTGGTTACTAACAAATGACAGCTGCTGTCAGAAGTGATTAATTGGACTCATTTGAAGATTGCACTGGATAGTTTTTTCACCACACTATGAAAATGGCACAAACGATGGAACACCTTCTGGCTGAAATAAAGGCCAGCCAAGAAGTGACAAGAGGCCCGCCTAGGAAAGACAGAGGCCATTATTAGGGCACCCAGTAACAACTGAGAGCCAAAAATTAAGACTGGCCTGGAAGAAATGAAGGCCATAGTGGAACACTATAACTGGGCCCCACGTTTTGAAGCCACGTACCTTTGTACCACCTTGCAGGACCAGGTTTCCAGTGTTTTGCATGGAGACCCTAAAGGAGCGACATATGAGATGGTTCAGTCACTTGGGGACTGATTTGGGGGCCAGCACCTGACTACAGGGTAAAAAAGTAAAGTAATCCCTGTAACAGAACCTGGAGGCCCATAGGGTTGTGAGATGTTGAGGCTCCCACATTTTCTAGACAATCAGCTCATAGATGGCGGCAAGGTACCTGACTGCAGGGTACCATAATCAACTGAAAACAGAGATCAAAGTCATTGCTAAATTCCTAGAGGAGTTTGCCATTGCCATAGAACAAGTGACCCACCATGCCTTTCCTGCGTGACACGAGGACCATGTTTGTAGGGGATCAGGCAAGGCATTTGGCAACAGCATAGGAAACTTAGGCATAGAACAGCAGCTACTTGGGAAGCAAGAAGACACTCACCAAGGCCCTCAGGTAGACCCTAGGGCAGGAAGTCATAAGGCTAACAGTTGGTTCTTCCATCGGGATTTGGAAAACGAGTGACAGGGCATTATGGAGGAGCTGATCCCCTCCCAAACAAAAGAAGAGACCACCAATGGCTTACATGCTGGTACTGTAGGAACACTAGACACACTCAGAAGTTCTGTCCCCACAGACTGGAAGAAGAAATGGCAACATGCCTGTAGGCTACTCGAGACGAGCGGCCTCAAGGAGGGAGCAGAGTCACTCCCCCAGTAGAAGGGGAGTGACCAGTAGTAATCAAACCCCTCCTCTCTCTCTAAGAGGAGGCCTCATTTTTTTTCAAAACACATACAAGTCTGAAACTGAGATTGACTGCTGGTGGAGGCCAGCAGCAATTTACCTGACCTGATCTGATCTGAGCCAGTTACTTGAGGGAGTTGAGGACCAGTTCTGAGAGGGTGGAGAGCTGCAATGATGTGAGCAAAGAAGCAGAAGGAATGACATAGTTGGAAACCACTACCAAGCAACGACTGAGAAGTGTTTGGAGTAGTGATTTGTATAGTGTATAGTGTATAGATTAGTGACAGCATTATAATTATTTGTAGTTGCAAGTTACAGGTGTTCAATAAATCCAGTTATCAATACAAACCCCATGTCTAGTCACTAACATGTGACAGATCTTGAGAAGCTAGTAACTCCTAAGTTAGGTGAATTATTTGCCCGTTATGGTTAACTGTCATGTTTAGAATCCTCTACTGAACTGTGTACTGTGCCAGGTGAATCCTGTCCACTTCCTCCCTGTCTTTTAAGCTCCTTTTTTATGTTAACGTTCTGAATAGTCTTTATCCTTTAGGGTTCATGACTAAAATTTTGTAGGCATTTCTCATCTCGTCTGTGCATGTCACATAGTCTGCTCATTGCATTCTTCTTGATTCTGTGAAAATATTTGTCAAGTAGAAATTATGAAGGTGCACAGTATGCATAGCCTTCTGTTATGCCATTCTCAAAATACTAGAACATGTTTTAATCATAATATATATATATGTAATCTACACTCTGACAGGGTCAGTGCAGGTGAACTAGAGCAGATCTTGAAGGACAAACCATCCATGGAAAAGTATGAGCCACATGTAGAAATACATACCTTTGGAAAGAGCTCTTTCAATAAGATTGTTACCAACAGTGATGGGGTGAGTATTCAGTGCTGCTTTAATTCCTCAAAGAATTTACATTAAAACCAGACACAGGAACAGCAGAAGACACAACTAGATAATCTGTTCACATTTTGATTTTTTCACTGAAAAGAAGATCAATTTACATAGAATTAATATCTTATGGTGTCCAAATATATTGATATGCCAACCAATACTGCAACTAATGACAAAATTTTATATTCATGAAGAGTTCTGTCATCTGTGTTGTAATGTCACGTAATTTAATACAAGTTCACTGATGTTTTGGGGGCACATACATGCCGCCCTCATTTGTAGGCCTGAAAGGAAGGCCAAGTAAGGAACCAGTAAAAGCAGGCGGTAAACAAGACGGAAGTAAATTCTAAAGGGTTCTGACAGTGGTGTATAACACTCAGAATTACTGGGGATTTGGACTTTTCCATTAATACTGGATGATGGAAAAAGTCCAAAAACCCAGTAATTGTAAGTTGGAGGTAGTTCTAACCTTCAGAACAGTGGTGAACTTCTATAAAGGTACACAACATTACATATGATGATAGTACTTTTCATAGTCACTGCTGTGAGAACCTCGAGTCATGTCTTCTGGGGCATAACAGCATTCTAGCCCAGACTGGCATTATATTTGAGAAGTAGCCATCTCAAATCCAACTTAATATCAGTTGTTTTTCGAAAATTACTGTTACCTAGAAACTGATGTTTCCATTATAAAGATGGATGGCTAATGAATTACTGATCCAGTCTCTGGTCTTATGCATTTTCAAGTACTTGTTTGTAAGTACCTGTCTTCTAAAATAAATATTGTGACTCAGAGTTATAGAGCTTGCTTTTTAAGTTTGCAGTTATATTAGATGAATTTGTATGAAAAAGTTTTAATGGATTTAATTGGTCTTGCATTCTTTTTCTTCATTTATCATATGTCTTGACTTGGAAAATATTTATAGACCATGTTTAAAATAATTTTAAACATGTCATAATGCAAGTATATTTATATTTTTAATATTGATGTTGTGACATGACACCTAAAAGACAGAAATTTTAAGTCAGAGAAATTGTGGACATCCATTGCAAGGCAGTGGCTTCTTAAAACATGTGTCCATGCTAATGAATATGCACACAACAGTAGAGAAACTATTGACATGCATGCTTCTATGCTATACATTCCATTACTCACACTCCAACTGTACTTATATACAGATTGCTACCTTCAAGAACATAACTACACTATATTCAGCATGTCAGTCCTTGCTTTCAAACACACATTCTCTAACAACACATGCTGCACTACATGAATCAACCCTGGCTACTCACCAAAACATCAAAATGACTACTCTGAATATTCAGATTAACTTACAACATAACAAAGTTATGGTTTGGCATAGATTGATGGGGAGTGAGTGTATGTGGAAAATGAATTTACAGGGTGGCACATGGAATGATCCAGTATTTGAGTTAGTATGAATTATTCAATCATGCAATGAACGATGTTTTTGTAAAATGGTAACACTTACAGTACATGATGGAGATTAGTTCTTACTCTTCCCGAATGCACTGTTCCTGATGATGTGCCAGTTTACATAAGAAGGCTGACAAAGGAACACTGTAGAACAACTCATAAAAACAGTGTTGATATTTACTGAAACAAGAAGTGTTATGATTACACAGAGGCGTTTCATACCCATTTTCAAACAAGATGGGCGCCTTTATTAAAACAATTCATTAACCTTATAACCAGTTTGTCATGCACCAAGAATAACAGTGTAGGTCGCCATCTCAAGTCATGGACTGCTAGGGCCAGTTTTCTTTTAAGAGATTATTGCATGTTGTGCAATATTCTTGTGCCTCACCTTCTTGCTATAGGTTTGCCATTACAAACTCAGTGGTTCATGCAGGATAGAGCCAGGCCACACACAGTGAATGTTGTTTTGGACTTTTTGCATGGCACTTTCAACTTGTGTGTCATCTCAGACCGATTTCCTGATCGTTTTGTATGTGGGTAGAACTGACCCCCAAATAGTCCTGATTTACACCGCTGTCCAAAAGTATCTGATTTTATTTTTTGCCGCTGTAAGTAATGGTCAAAGGGGTGGGAAAACTGAGTGTAGTGGTAGAAGGGACTTTCATGCGCATGCATGATTTTTTGCTGACTTGCAACACTGCTGGATGCGTCTGTGGCTGCCAGATAGCGAAATGGTCTAACATGTGTTCGCTGCATTCTCATTTCGCTCAAGATGACAGAATGCTTGGAGCAGCAATACTGCATCATGTTTTATCAGAAACTTGGGGATATCCAGGCGGAAACAATCCGCAAAATTCAGCAGGCTTTCGGCGATGATACAATGGGGGTCATTCAAATTAAAGGGTGGTTCAACCGCTTTAAAGATGGCCGTATGTCGGCGGACAGTGACCAGAGTTCCGGGAGACCGTCAACAAACCGAAATGCTGATGCCATTGAAAAAGTGCAGACATTGATCATGGAGGGCTATCATTTGACCATCCAGGAAGTTGCTGATGAGGTTGGGATCAGCAGAGGTTCCACAAACACAATTTTAACTGAGGATTTGGGCATGCAAAGAGTGGCAGCAAAATTTGTGCCCAAGCTGCTTTCGCTGGAGCAGCAACAACTCCGCCTTGAGGTCACGCAGGACATGCTGGAGTGCGCCAACAGGGACCCTAAGTTCCTGAAGACTGTGAACACTGGTGACTAGTCGAGGGTATACGGATATGGCCCGGAAACTAAGGTTCAGGCGTCACAGTGGAAACATCCAACATCCCTGAGGCCCGAAAAAGCACGACAGGTCCAGAGCAATGTGAAGGTGATACCATTTTTTTTTTCGATTACCGGAGTGTTGTGCATCATGAGTACGCACCACTAGGTCAAACTGTCAATAAGGAGTACTACCAAGAAGTCCTCTACCAGCTTTATGATGCAGTTCGGCGCAAGAGACCGGAGCTGTGGGATGCACGCAACTGGCAGCTGCGTCATAACAATGCCCCACCTCTTTCATCACGCCTGATTCAGGGTTTCCTGGCCAAGCACGGCATTCCACAGGTTCACCAGGCTCCCTACTCTCCTGACATGGCTCCTTGTGATTTCTGGCTGTTCCCGAGATTGAAGACACTGGCTCCTGTTTTGACAGCTGCGAAGACATCATACAAAATGCAACAGCGCAGCTGCACACCATTCCAAAAGAAACCTTCCAGAATTGCTTCCAGCAATGGAAGGACCGCTGGGCTAAGTGTGTGGAGTCACAAGGGGCCTACTTTGAAGGGGATTAGGTATTGTAACTACCCAGATACAGAACTTTGTTTTCCTGGCACAAGGTCTGATACTTTTTGCACAGAGTAGTAAACCCATGTGACTACTTTCTTTGGGGATTTCTTAAGGAAAAGATTTTTCGGAGAAAGCCACAAACAGTAATGGAATTAAAAACACTAATCATTCAGGCTGGCATTAAGATAACTGAGGGTATGTGCTGTCAAGTAATCAACATCATCACAGTTTGTATTAAGTTGCCAGACATAATGGTGGTCATATTGATTACTTGATTTACAGAGGATAAATCTCCATGCAGTGTTGGCAACGCTGCATGTTCTTCCATTTCTTTACACTGTAGTGCTCATGTAAGTGCATTAGTGATTGTGTTAAGTGACAGTCTATGTGAAGGAATCAGAAAATGGGAGAGCTGTCCGATTTTGAAAGAGGATAGTTCATTTGTGTGCATTTAGCTGGAGCATCTGTGACAAAAACTGCCATATTATCAGGTATATTGAGAGTGACAGCTTCTAAAGTTATGTCAGTATACACAAATCATGGGAAGACTATATCAGTGGAAACAGAAATAGATTGTCATACATTGAGAAGGATTGTTTTGAAAAATCACAGAACTACTGCAGCACAGGTGACAGAAGAACTGAATATTCATCTTGAAGATCCCATTTCCACAAAAACTGTTTGATGTGAACTTCACAAATCAAACATCCACAGTAGGGCTGTGGTTTCTAAACCTCTGATTACCGAAAGTAATGTTCAGATGAATAAGTGATGGCACCATGACCTGGACATAAGACAACTGGAAACATGTGATATGGTGAGAGGAATTGTCCTTCATGTCATTCCCTACATCAGGAAGAGTTTACATTTAGAGAACGCCCAAGGAAGCCTACAATCTGGAATGCCTGGTTCTAACAGTTAAATATGGGGGAGGTTCTTTGACGGTTTGGACAGCAATGCCGCAGTATTCTGTTGGTCCAATTATTGCTCCTCATGGCCGAATTACTGCAAGGGAGTACATGTTGGGTAATCAGGTGCAACCCATTGTTAAGACGTTTTTCCCCATGGTGCACATTTTCAAGACAACAGGGCCCCCATTCACACAGCTGGAACTGTTCATTCATGGTTTGAAGAGCATGAAGGTGAACTTCAACATATTCCCAGGCCAGCACAATTACCAGATATGAACATCATTGAACCACTCTGGTTTGTTTTGGAGACTAGCGTGAGGAACAGATTCCCAATTCCAACATCGCTAAAGCAACTTTAAGATGTTCAAGAAGAATGGTATAAAATTCTGCTAGAGACTGTGCAACTTGTACAAGTCGATTCCAAGAAGAATTGCAGTTGTACTGAGGGCAAAAGGTAGTCCAGCACCATATTAATAAAGAATTGTGTACAGTGTCTGTAGTGTTTAAATTGTTTTGTTCAGCCCTTGTACATATTTGGTATAAGAACTTAAAAGAACAGAAACACTTGATGAAAGGAAAATCTGGTAACATTCATATTGTGAACTATTTTTTCTCTGTAAATTGACAAGATTTGTGGTAAAGGATGCCTTATGTATGGCAGTAAATGTGGTATTTGGCTATATGCTACAGTTGGACAGAATGTATGGGGAAGTTCACTGTAATTCCAAGGGTCTGATCATAATTTTGTTGATATTACAGACAGTGGAACATCATCGTACAGTGAGAGACAGTCAGGGAAATGAGGAGATAACAGTGACTCAGCAGATAGGAGACAAGAGATACTCTGTGACCACTCGTATTGATTCCAGAGGTGAAAAGCAACAAACAGAGAATTTTGTGAACATTGAGAAAGGTAAGTTACAGTCAGGCCAATCCAGGTAAATTGAATTTTATCACAAGATATTTAATAATTTGGTTTTAATACCATTTATACAGTGAACTACGAGTTATATGGTAGTCAGGCATCCAGCATTCTCATCCAGCTGAAAGAAATTTAAAAAAAAGTTTGTGAATGTATTTGAAAACAAACAAATTTGCCATGCATATATGTTCATCTCGCAGCGGTTCTCCCAGCCACTACTAGGTGTGCTGCCCATTTTCCTCCCCATGTAAATGCCATTACAGTAGAGGCTAGCTGAATTTGTGACTGTGTTATAGTATTGTAACGTGTATCGTAACTGAAGACGCCGTTCGGATTGTTAATTGGTTTATTTAATGAACTACTAGTCTCGGCTACAATTAATTATAACACAGTTGTGGGGTTTCACACTTTATAACTCTATTTGCAATAATCTCTTCACTCTATCTTCAGTAGTCTATGTTTTTACAGTACGGGAGCTCTACAAGTCTCTCTGTATTACACGCTCCCAATTACACAATTACACACGCATCTGGTTCTTCTTTCCGCGACTGCTGTTAGATTCCAACTCAACTCGTAGGCTGCTGGCTTGAGAACTAACTTCGGCGACTGATACACTTAACTCGTAACTTGAGAACTACTGGCTCAAGAACTCACTTTGGCGGCTGATACACTTTTTAACCAACTTCAACTGCACTCGGCGACAGCCACATTTCAACTCGCCTCGCAGGCAGTGCAGCTCTCTTATATAGTGGCAGTGTTTGCCTGTTACGTAGCAACGCTGTTGGAAGTTGTTTACGGGTGTGTAGCAATTGCGGCGTTGTGCGTTACGTCACCGCGGAGGGGGGGACGGAGCGCTGACTCATCTGCCACGTCACTGCTGGGTAGGGAGGGGTTGTCCTCCATTGCGCAACATGTCACACTGCTCCCTCCTTAAGGCTGTTCGTCCCGAATAGCCTAACGGTGAACCCCTGTCCCTTTGCTTTGGAGGCTGTTCTTGCAGCGACTGTACTCCGGCTGTTACAACCGCTCTCTTCTTAAGACCAGCTTGTCTCGAGCGGTTTCCTTTCAACTTGCTAGAAGATCCAGTCATATCCCATTCATCCATGACTTTCATTCTTGCTCGGGCGGCCGGTACTTCTACGTTATCGGCTCCTCCTCTGCTTGAAGTCTTCTTTTCCGTTTTGGAGGCGGTCGACACTTCCACAGTGTCCAGTCCTTGTTTATGTCTTCCATGAGAAGTTCTTTATGTCGACGTAATAGCACTTGATTCATTGTTTGCACTTGCTGACGTTGCCGCTCCTCCTGGTCTTCCAGCTGCTTGCTGGTACGAGACCGTGGCTCAAGTCCTTTCTCCGGCATCCGAAGGTTCCCTGGGGAATTTCCTTCTTGAAGTCATTTCTCCAACCTCGTGCCACTGTCGCGTGACGGGATATGTTCCAGGTTACTTGTTCCACATTGTCTGCGTTTCGTCCTAAACGCCTGTGCCCTGCACAGCGTGTAATCATTATTCCGGTAGCGGTCACTTCTTTCCGCAGTCCACACTTTCTGTGGGTCAAAGATTTCCTGAAGTAATTCGTCCTGAGCCATGCCACTGTTGCACGGCGGGACACCTTCCTGCAGGCAGTGGCCAATTTCATCCAGGATCCAGAAATTCCTCGGGTTACTTCCTGTGGCTCTCCACGCCGCCCTGCAGCTTGCTTCTTGCCCCTATACCGCTTCTTCCGTCCTTTGACCGGATTCACTATGGCATCTTCGTTGGGGACTTCTCGTTGTTGGGCCACCTCAGGTTTCCTGTCCGCTGAGGTTGGCTCATTTTCTTCTAGACATGCCTCCATCTCTTGGTAGGCCATTGTCTCTTTTCCGGTATCCGTTAATTCTTCTTCAGGTTCTATGACCGGTATCACTGTGGGGACCTCTTCTTGTTTTGCCGCCGGCTTTTCTTCTTCTTGACGCGCCTCCGTCATTTCTTGGCAGGCTATTGTCTCTTCCTCCATCTCTGGTTTAAATGCGGACACCATCTCCATGTGGCTGGTGTGCATATTTTCTCGTATGGTGGCCATCGTTGCTTTGATGGCTCTCACCTCCATGGCAGTCTTTTCTCGCCAGGCGGCCATCTCGTCTCGCCAGGTTTTCGAGTCTGCATCTACCTTGTCTCAGTTGGCATCTAACTTGGCCATTAAATCTTCTTTGTCTTTTCTTTGATTGGCCTCCATCTTTTCTTGGTAGGATTTCATGTTGGCGTCCATTCTTGCCAGCATATGTGTTTCTTCTCGATCAGCTCTAATTTCCTTCAACAGGAGTTCCATCATCTGCTGTGATTCCATGTTCTTTTCATGTGTATAAGTTTGTATCCCAATTCTGACACGAATGTAACGTGTCTTGAGTTCGAATCTTGTTGGTCACGTGTGTAAGTCCAATCCCACTTCTGACACCAAATGTAACGTGTTTAGTTACTGAAGACGCCTTTTGGATTGTTAATTGGTTTATTTAACAATCTACCAGTCTTGGCTACAATTAATTATAACACAGTTGCGGGGTTTCACACTTTATAACCCTATTTGCAATAATCTGTTCACACTGTTGCGGGGTTTCACACGTTATAACCCTATTCGCAATAATCTCTTCACTCTATCTTCAGTAGTCTACACGTTTTTACAGTACGGGAGCTCTATAAGTCTCTCTGTATTACACACTTCCAATTACACAACTACACACACGTCCGGTTCTTCTTTCCGTGACTGCTGTTAGATTCCAACTCAACTCGTAGGCTGCTGGCTTGAGAACTAACTTCGGCCACTGATATACTTAACTCGTAACTCGAGAACTACTGGCTTGAGAATTCACTTCGGTGGCTGATACACTTTTTAACCAACTTAAATTGCACTCAGCGATGGCCACATTTCAATTCGCCTCACAGGCAGTGCAGCTCTCTTATATAGTGGCAGTGTTTGCCTGTTACGTAGCAATGCTGTTGGAAGTTGTTTACAGGTGTGTAGCAATTGCAGCGTTGTGCATTACATCACCGCGGAGGGGGGGACAGAGTGCTGACTCATCCGCCACATCACTGCTGGGTAGGGAGGGGTTGTCCTCCATTGCTCAACATGTCACACTATATATCTGAAATCTTTTACCTATCAATCTGCTGAGTTAATTAAAATTAACCATTTATAAGTTCCAGCTTGCAAGAGAATTCTGGCATTATTCTGTCAGTATACCACAAATCATTGCTGTTGAAAGTAAGTGCACCCCATCTCATTCGGATACTGTTTAACTCTGTCATTTGCAGATGATTTGGATACCTTCAAGAAGGAATGGTGCAGGCTTCGCCAGACTCCACAGTATCCTGCAATTGACAAGGAACCAAAACCAGACCATTTGTCTATCTTTGATCAATTTTTCAAGTAGGAACTATTTAATGGATTTTGCTGTATTTAAAGTTAACAAAATGTTTGTAGCAGAAATATTATTATTCATGAATGCTTCTTAGATTTCGAATGTTATGTAAAAAAAAAAGCAATGTATTCTTTTTCCCCAATTCGTGCATTGGTTTACGTGTTTTCAGGATCTTAATTCATAATAATGATACTGAATAATATAATGAAGACTTGTATTACTGTAACTTCTTACTGTACACAATAAATGCTAGTTTGCTCAAGTCTAATCTCTGCATTCAATTAAATGCTTCTAGTCACACTCAAGATGCAATTGTGCGATGTGCTGTATATCACACTCATTGTAGGTAGAGACCGGGAGCAGAGTCACGACTTTAGCAGCTTACTGAAAAAAGGTAGGCACATAACAGGAAAGACATTAAAATGAGAAAAATGGACATAATATTGCAGTTTTTCAATTTTGTGCCTTCTTTACATAAGATTCGTTCATTATGAATAATTATTTCCTGTCTGTGTTTCTGAAATTGCAAAGAACACATTTGGAAATTACCTGATGGAAAACTGAAAATATTAATATAGTAACTGTATTTGTTATAGACCATCTAGGTCCAGAGAAAATTATTCCATACTAAAAATATTGTGGCATACAGATCTGTTGCCAGTGACTCTGTAAACAGCGGCCATTGCTAGGTAATGCCCACAACATAAACACATGCAACAATAGAACAACAGGGTTATGCAACCTGTTTCTAAGCAATGGCTCAGTAAACACGTTCCTGTGGAAATGAATGTGTTCAACAGTGGAGGAATGGGGTTTTCAATGTGGTCTGCCCTGAGGCTATGCGAGTATAGCAAGGAGCCCAGGCCGGTTGAGTGAAGTGGTTTGCGAGTGAGTCGTTGCAGAATATTTGCTGGACAGTAATGACATGAGTGCTGCCTGCAGAGGGATGACCCACTGTGCCATTTCTGCCTGGCATAAGGGACAAGGCTAGGGCAGTGTTGCAAGAGGAGCCCCTAACTGGGAATCATCACTGGAATAAGGAACCAAGGCTCAAGACAGAAGCCACGTCTGGGGCAAGGAGCTCAGGCCGGTTGAGTGAAGTGGTTGGCGAGTGAGTCGTTGCAGAATATTTGCTGGACAGTAATGACATGAGTGCTGCCTGCAGAGGGATGACAAATTGTGCCATTTCTGTATGGCATAAGGGACAAGGCTAGGGCAGTGTTGCAAGAGGAGCCCCTAACTGGGAATCATCACTGGAATAAGGAACCAAGGCTCAAGACAGAAGCCACGTCTGGGGCAAGGAGCTCAGGCCGGTTGAGTGAAGTGGTTGGCGAGTGAGTCAGTTGCAGAATATTTGCTGGACAGTAATGACATGAGTGCTGCCTGCAGAGGGATGACCCACTGTGCCATTTCTGCTTGGCATAAGGGACAAAGCTAGGGCAGTGAGGAGCCCCTAACTGGGAATCATCACTGGAATAAGGAACCAAGGCTCAAGACAGGAGCCACATCCGGGAAGCAGGACAGCACTTGACAGGATCTTCAGGAAGACCACAGAGCTGGAGGTTGCAAAGCAAATAGTTGGGACTTCCATTAGACTACTGAAAGTGAGTGATTGGACATTGTGGAGGGGTTGGCCCCCTCCGGAACGAAAGAAGAAATCACTAATAGCAGATTAAGAGCAATGAATGTAGGAATACTGACCACTCTTGGAACTTATGGCTGCACCAACCAGAGGGACCCTAGATTGAGATTCATGGTGGTACACCTGGACTGTGGTGCACCTTATCAGGGAGCCTCACAGGATGAGCGCCGTTAAAGAGGGAGCAATGGGAGCAGTTGGAGAGTAAGCACTGTGAAACCCTGGGATTTGATGTGCAGCACCTACAGAACTTCATTAGAGGTACAGGATACTTCCTAAGCTGTTCATGGTACCCAGCCATCAACAGGATCAAAGAAGGAACAGATCAACAATGAGGAGCATCGATTGTGATGACTGGCCACCTGATTCCACCCACTGCTCCCCCAGCTGTCTGAACTGATCATCTTGCTCCACCCACTGTTCACGCAGTAGTACATGCTAGGATAGCTAAAAGTGTACTTTGTGGTATGAATGTAACATGTCACATCATCCCCTGATGACGGAGATGGAGAGTCTTTGAAACATCAGATAACTTCATATTAACACAGTTGGATTGTACGAGAAGACTTCACTGTAGAGTGTGCCTGTTCCATTAAGAGAGCTTTCAATAATTTAATTCAAAATCATACTAACAGATAAAGTGTGTAAAAGCATGTATGATACTTCAGTTTTGTGGGATGAAAATACAGAAATTATGGACTGAACATGTACCTTAACTGTGGAAGATAGGAAATTCATAATTTTGAAGAGGACACTTTCAGAGGTTAAACCCAGTGACAATGCATTCTGATGCATGTACCACATTCTACTGCTTGATCACTGGGATTTTTGATTCAAAGCCCACTTGGGGATGGATGTACATATGCATTTTTCTGTGTATGTGTTGTCCTTTGTAGGTAGAGGCCTTGTGACAAGCTGGTACCCAGCCCTAGGAGTCCTGCCAGATATCTGTAAACAAGATTCTAAAGCTTGAAAAATTGGAGCATTTGGACAGCACTGGACTTGTCATGCCTCAGAAGACTAAGAAGAAAGCAGCTGCCTGATAGAATATTAAAATGGATATTGTGGGATGTGACCTGGATTGAACTTAAACCCTTTTGCACTCAGCCTATTTTCCAAGTATCTGGACTAAAACACTCAGGTGAATTTGGCTCAATTTACAAGTCTCACTTTAAAAATTCACCAAAAATACAATTTTGGCCAAAGACATATGAACAATTAAACGTATTCACCATAAACAGCAGATTTGAACAAAAATAGCCTACAAGTGCTAACAGTATGAATAATTTGAAAAAATAAATACATAAAAACTGAAAGAAGTAAATATAGAAATCTAATAAAGTAAGTAAAGCTATCCCTGTACCAGGCCGTAAAGGCCCATAGGGTTGTGAGATGTTGAGGGTCCCACATTATCTAGACCAGCCCTGTCCAACGCGGCGCCCGTGATATATTTTTCTGGCACCCTCCATAAGCACATATAATTGACTCGATTTTTAATATTAATTCAAATTGTAAGACGAGACATTTTTGGACGTCTGAGTACTGTTAAATATTTTCACAAAATTTCCTTGAAGCATAGTACAGTATTAAACATTCCTTGAAAATGTATGCCCATTTCTTTTCTCCCTTGCTAACAACACCAGTCTTAATTTTTTTTCACTAGAGAAACTGTTGTCCTCTCAAGATCAGGTAATTTTCCCTAGCTTTATTTTTACCCCCCTCAAACAGCCGCAAGTCCCCACTGAATCGGCTTTCATGGATTTCGGATTTATCGTCAGGGTACCATAAAATTTTCTGTGATCGGCAGGGCAAACATATTCACTGACATGAACATGACAATGGGGCCCAGCTTACTGTAATTTCCCCAATTTCTAAACTCATTGGCAATATGAATCAAAGTTACTTTAATCCCAACAAAGCGATGCCACAAACAATAAGAGGTTATTAACACATTCAGGACCGGAGGGGCCAATTGGCCCTTTTCTGACGTGTTATGTTGCAACCGACTATATCTCGCTGTGTGGCCACGTTGCATCATAACTACTGCATAATTGACCTCGGGAATGTTTGCTAGCTTAGCCAGTAACATGATCACGCTCATTTCCTGTCACACCCTACAGAAAAAAGCCCTTGTTCGAGTCCAAGCTTCTACATATGAACCAGGAAGTTAGTTGTGCAACATGGAGCAGAGGAAAAAGCAGTTGCAGGCTAAGCGTTCTCTCGGAGAACGAGAAATATTAGATTTGTTCTCTGATGAGCTATCAGATTTGCCAACTGCTTCATCTTCTGATAGCGAGGCCAGCCTCAGTGAAAATGACAGTGACAGGGGCCACAGGGCCCCCCAAAATATTGTGTCCAGTGAAAGTGAGAGCTCCGATGAAATTTTCCAGAGATATCACATGTGCAAGCACTTCTAGGAGCTCTTGTAAGCGTTCTCCAAAAATTTTAGTTCATAAAATTAATTAGGAGATTTTATATTAATTTTTAAAGTGAACAGTGCACAAGTTAGGGTGCTAGGCTTTAAAACCCCGGTCCCCAGGGTGATTTAAATATTTAAACAACTGGTCCGGAATGTGTTAAGAGGGTCGTACACCAATGGAAATTGGCAGTAGCTATATTTCCAAGTTCACTTTCTTCAGCCAAACATTCAGTATTACTTGCGAGTTTGTGACGACAATAGTTCAGTTGTTATGTGTCTTGTGTTGTGCTTCAAATTATTGAGCAAATAAGCAGTACTATTTTATATAGCTATTCTTGATATGGCTAAAAGACAAAGAAGTTATAGTTTTAACAGTGAATGGGAGGAGCAGTATTGTTTTATTGAATACAGAGGAAAACCTGTGTGTTTATTGTGTAATAGTAGCGGGTCTGTTCCTAAAAAAAGTTATGTAGAGCGACTTTTTTGACTAAACACAATAACTTCAACAATGAATTTCCTGTGAAATCTGAACTAAGAAAACAAAAAGCGAAAGACCTAAAATCTAAATTAACCTTGCAACAACGTGTATTTACAAAGTCTATCCAGCAAAGTAGTAACGTAACAATAGCGTCTTATAAAATCTGTCATGTGCTAGCTAAAAGGAAAAAACCTTTCAGTGATGGGGAAATACTTAAAGAAGCTATGATCAGTGCCAGCGAGTCTCTGTTCGACTGTCGCAAAGATAAATCTGCAC